TGTGACGGCGACAAAGGTGTGATGAAAGTCCATTTCACTTGTAACAATTGTAGACTTTCAGACAAAGACAAACCCTTCCAATGCATGAAAATCTCTCTCTGCTCATTCGCTGCCCCGTGAAATGTAGTGGCATTGTCGCTAAATATTTCACGGATGCTCCCGCGCAACGAAACCAAACGCGTCAAACAAGCCATGAATGCATCAGTTGTAAGGTCAGTCACCAAGTCGAGATGAACCGCTTTTGTTTTCATACAAACAAACACAGCAACATATGCTTTGTATAACTTCTTGCAACGGCCAGAACGTTCCTTTACCATGACAGGTCCACAGTAATCAACACCAACTGATTCGAAAGGATGACCTGAAATAACCCTTACACTCGGTAAATCGCCCATCAACTGGTCAGCCACTTCTTTTCTTTGGCGAAAACAGGGCATACACTTGAGCGAAACTTTCTTAACTGCTTTACGAACACCGATCATCCAAAACCGTTGTCTAATATACTGCATGCATAACTGAGTGCCGCCATGTAAGGTACGTCGATGCGCTTCTACCACCAATAGATGTGAAAATCTACAATCATGATGCAATATTATCGGATGCTTCGTATCAAAAGGCATCATAGAACGCTTTATACGGCCACCAACACGCAACAAACCATCACCATCAACACGCAACAAACCATCATCACAAAGGTGACATCTTCACTATTATTGAATCACGCGATAAACTTTTACCATTTTTGAGTAGCTCAATATCTCCGGCGAAATATTTTTGTTGATGATATTTGATCCAAATTGCTTGAGCCTCCAAGTAATCGGCATGGGCAATGAACGTTGAACAGACTTTCTCTTTGGTTCTTATCTTTCTTATGAAAGCCAAAACTCTAGCAGTAACACGAACCAACCTCATCATCGAACTACAATGATCCAACAACATTTCTGTTGTTACATCATTTACTGTAACTTCAATTCGCGGCACAGTTTCAACTCGAATAATAGCACATGCCTGAACTGCTCTTGACTCAGCTACTGTAGCCTCTTTAACACGTTGATCAATGGTAAAACTGCCAACTGGCCAATCTGAATGTGGTTTCGACAACCAGTGCGGTCCATGGAACCAAAGCGAATTTCCAACTAACTCACTCGCAAATAAGCCTCGCGAGGCTAAATCAGCAGGGTTATCATTCGTACGTACATGCTTCCATTGCGCTCCCTTTGTACATTCTTGGGCTTCGGCAACACGATTACCAACAAACGCCTTTAAGCCAGATGGACACTTTGACAACCAATGTATGACTATGCTTGAATCTGTCCAAAGAGTCAATTTACTCATTGGCACATCATGAATGCTACAGATTTGTTGACACATGTGTGCCATCATCAATGCTCCACACAACTCCATACGTGGTATAGTCATTCCCTTTAGCGGTGCAACGCGAGTTTTCGATGTTATCAGATTACATTCAATCGTAATTCCACTTTCTACTCTGGCGTAGAAAGTCATTCCATATGCACTGTTCGACGCGTCTGAAAAACCATGAATTTCAATGGATTTCTCTGGTGAAAGTCCAATCCACCGTGGCACAGTAATTTTATTAACATCAATCATCGTTCTTTTTAAATCATTCCAACGATTCTTAAGTTCTAATGGTACTATGGTGTCCCATTCAACTTTGCTCTTCCACACATCCTGTATCAGAATTTCACCCAAAATTACAATTGGTGCCAACCACCCAATAGGATCATATAACTTCGCAATCGCTGACACTATATTTCGTTTTGTAGGTGGCAGATCCGATAAATTAGTGTAATTATAACGGAATGCATCATCCGCAATTGACCATTTCAAACCAAGAATTGAACTTTCATCACAAAGATCAAAATTTACTGAACTTACTGCGCCGGCGGTAACACCAAGTACCGACCTCATGTGTGCACTATTTGTGGCCCATTTTGCCAAAGGAAAACCACAACTCATTAACATCTCATTCAATTCTTGGTACAATTTCTCCGCATCCAAATCAGTATCTGCGCACAAAGTACCATCATCGACGTAGAACGAATTCAACACTGCTTTTGACGCTAACGGATACTTATGCCGATGCTCCAAAGCACAATACCTCAAAGTGGCGACACAACAATATGCACTTGATTTTAAACCATATGTTTGTCTTTTCATACGATAATGCCGCAGTGGTTCATTCTCATTTTCGCGCCAAACAATTCGCAAATAATCACGTTGATTTTCTGGCACTAAAACTTGACGATACATCTTAGTAATGTCCGTAGTTAATGCAACACCATATTTACGAAATCGCATAATAATTATATTCAAATCATCTTGACAACGAGGTCCATTTAATAAAATATCATTGAGAGATAGACCCGTTGTAGTCTTAACAGAACCGTCAAAAACAACTCGAAATTTACTTGAATTTGCAGCATGATGCGGTATGTAATAGACATCCTCTTTATCTATCTCATTCAGCGGAACCAACTCCATATGGTCCAAATCAATGAATTGTCGAATATCTTTGATGTAATTCTCTTTTAACCTTGGATCTTTGCGAAATCGTCTCTCATTTTGTAATTGACGTGCTATGGCTGCACGCAAAGAATTGCCCAATTTAGGTGGATTGTCCATAATTGGCATCGCAACTGAATACCGACCGTCTTCAGCTCGCTTTATAGTTTCGCTGAAAATTTGTTCACAACGCGCTTCCTCGGACGTGAGAAGCGATTTTTCTTTCACAGCATCAACCCTCCACAATCTTTCCAAATTGTCGGCGATGCGTTGACTTGATGGTAATGCTCCATAAACAATCCAGCCAAATGTAGTGCAGCTCACCACTGGACGATTCGAATTGCTATGATCTCTTATAATTTTGTTACCTTGAATGCGTGCCATAAATTCTACGCTCTCGACGTCGCAATTAATGATGCATCAATATCCGTATTAGCCGGCGATGATTGTACCAAGGTTAACACCGTTGCTGGTTTTTGTTGCTGAGGGCATAATAACTTATTATGAGGTTGCCCACAAATTCTACAATCCGAAATACTACAGGTGTCCTTTGAATGACCTCTTCGCAAACATTTCACACAAATATTCAAGCTTTGTAAACGCTGCTCTCTCAGATCAATCGACATTCTTTCAAAAGACCGGCAATCATATAGCTTATGCAAACCGTTACAATGAAAACATGCACGCTTCTTCTTAATCTTACTTGGATCATGCTTATAATTCGACTGTTGTGAAGTTGCCGGCATAGCTGTTATCGCCGGCGCATTCGATGCAGATTCTGGACCTCTAAAATGTCCTCGACTTGAAACAGGTCCACTTTGACTTGAATGACCTTGAAATGACGAATAAAAATGACTGGTTTTTTCAATTCTAACTGCAAAATCTGAATCCATACTGTCAGCTCGTTTTCTAATAAATTCCAGTAATGGTTGTACCTTTGCAATAGCTTTTTGATCTCGTTCTAATGACCATAAACGAATTGACTCACCATCCATTTTTCGAATTAATAACGGTACCAAAATTGGATCCCAATGTTCGACACGAATATTATACTTTGGCAAAGAATATAACAAATTATTCGTTTTATTAATCAGCGCAATTAACGCTGACCTAGATGGTGTCTCTACACACGGCATGTCAATAAATGATAAAATAATGCTGTTCACAATTTTCCTCTCATTGTCATATGCATCACACAACTTTGCCCAAGCTTGTTCGTAATGCAAATTCATACCGTTAACTGTATTGTAAGCCTCTGACTGTGGTGCCAGATGAGCCATCAAATGATAAAACTTTGTTGAGTCGGTCATATCCGTTCGACGATGAAAACATTCCTCAAATTGTGCTTTGAACTGTGGCCAATCATTGTCTTTGCCGCTAAACTTCTCAATTTCCATCTTCTTGACCTTGACACCCTGATCTTGAACATGCGGTGCAGTTGTATGCATTGTGCTATTCGATTGGTACGAGATATCTGCGGTTGTCAAATCATTGATTCTTTTTTCTAACAAACCATTTAGCGATGAATGCAAACCATCTACTTTATCCATCAATTTTTGGTGTTCTATGATGTCCTTTGCTGATAAAACTTGCGATTTGGTTGATTCTTCAAAAAATCGTTGATAATACATACTAACCAATTTTAATTGGCTATTTAACGTTGACAATGGGAGCGATTCAAAATCATCACCATGCACCACAGAAAGTATTCTTTCCAAACCAACAATACACATGTGCTTGGCATCATAATTTTTAACCTCTCTTTTTTTCTTTCTGTCATTTGCTTCGCCGGCGATTTCATTTGAAAGAGCGTCTTCAACGCTTGTGTCATTTATTTCCAGAATATCAATCGAATTCCGTTCTGTGCGACGCTTACCTTTGCCCATTTTAATGTAATAATTTGTCCAAAAACAAAACAAAAACGAATCAATGACACTGAACTATGGTGTTCATGCACTTGTAACGACGACAAAAGTCTCACGCAATAAAAAAAATATTTCAAAGATACCGTACTTTGGCGTACGTGCACTTTAAGTATTGATCTCAATTTCGACTATTTAATTGATGGAAAAATATCTCAAAGATAATTAGAATAATTCACTTTGTGCTGAAAAATTCAATGTCTGTCACACTGTGGTGTGTGCTCTCTCGATCACAAAAAATTACCAAGTTCGAAACTGTGCAATTGCAGCACAATCACCTGTATACGGTGTACAGTTATGTTGCCAAAATGAACAAAAAATGCTAAGTTTGTCGCGCACTGTGGTGTGCACACAACTTTTTTTTTTTTTTTTTTTTTTTTGAAAATATGAACAAAAATCGCTGTTTGTAACACTATGGGGTGCATACAAACACGAAAACTTGAAATTAATTTGCAAAATTAAATGACCTTTAAAGCCACACTATGGTGTGCGTGCCCACTAAAATTCCAAGAATTTTAATTGCAAATCGATTCTCAAGTAGATTCGAAGGACCAATAAATGAAACTCAACTAGTTGAATGTTCAAAGTAAACTAAATTTATTGAAAGTGGTGCGAGCACACCGCACCGACTGACAGCAACATCGGACGGGTGTGCAAAGATGCCAAGAGGCTTGGCCATTCATTGCGTAGCTCACCAAGAGATGGTGTTACCAAACTAAACATTTTATGTTAAATCTGTTCGTTCCGAACAATTGTTTTCTCATTTCAGTTCATACTTAAGTTGTTTGTTGTTAGTATTGGGTTGAAAAAAATATTTGAATTGCGTTTTATTTTAAAAGATGAAATCAATTCTTGATTCTATGTGTTGCTGTTTTTTTGGCCAGTGGCCTTCCAGCTAAATTACATTCAAGATGGAAATAACATCCATTCATTATATGAGCTCAAAAAAATTTGCTCTGTAAAGCAAAGCTTAAGACGTCATGTGCTGATGAATTTCTGATGAAATTGAATACATGTCAAACATAAAATAATGAATATTGATCAATGAAAATATTCACATTTCACACACGTACTAATGAGCTGTTTCACTATGCAATACAGTGAGGCCGCCAGTGATACGTATTTTGCAGCAACCCAGTGTGCGTATGATCCAGCTGGAAGAAATGACGGCCTAAGAAGAAAACAATAACATACAGAATATTCTGCAAAAAGACGAATACAAATTTATGTGAGCAAAAACCAAATATACAAACAGACAGCGCAAAAGTAAAACAGCCTACTTACATGTG